CCACCGGAGTTTCCCGCGGGCGATGTCGCCGGTTTTGATTGCGCGGCAGGGAATTCTCGATTCTGATTCGAGCATAGCACGTACGTATACATCAGTTAAGCACGCAATTGGAAGAGCAAGAAATTTTCCAACGCCTTTGCTCCGTAATGTTTTTTTTTTGCAGTGAAACCTGAGAGCTTTATTCAAACAAAGGAGCTCCTACGATCATCCGCCAACAGGCTCGTGACCAGGAACGAGGGTTCTGAGTCCAACCAACTCTCAGTCACCATAAGCGAGCAGGCACGCTTCGCACATAAGTGAGCCGGGAGATTAGCTGTCCTACTTATATGTTAAATAGTAAAAAAATCAAACGACATAGTAAGCTCTTCAATCTCTACCAAAATAGAAGCCACAATCGAGCGAGTGTTGTGGCGATTGTTCCAGAGATTCACAATCTTCAGGCAGTCCGTCTCCATGATCACATGTGAGTAGCCCCTGAGACTTGCAAATAGGACTCCCTCTCGTAGTGACAAGGATTCGGCGACGAGCGGATCGGTAATACCAACCTGCGGTTTGCACCAGGCTGCTAGAAGGGCTGTCGAAGAGCAGGCGACACCTCGCGCCCCTGCCACTCCTGAATCGGTTGCTCCGTAATGTATGGAGGCCATACAGCATGTAGTATGCACGTAGCCCGTACGTCGAGCCCTTCCAAAACTTGCGTACATACTCGCAGGACGGGAAAGGGAATCCGCTTCTCTTCTCTTGGACGGCAAGGCGCGCGCGCGGGATGCCGCCGCCGCGTCCGCCCGCCCGCCCGCCCGCGGGGAGGCGCGACTGGTGACGGCGGTTTCGCCTGGTCCGGTCCGGTCCGGGAAAAGGAAAACCCGCGGCAGGCAGGGGACGTCGGTCGGTGCTGGACGCGGTCACTGCACCCGCACCGCGCGCGCGTGCGACGTGACTCGGACGCCACGGCGAGGCGGCGGTGGTTTCGGCTCGGTCCGCAGGCGTTCCATGGTAATCGCCGCTCGGTTTCAGGCATCCCGTCCCGTCAGCACGATCCCCAATAGCCGCGCACATTCCTTATCTTGAGGGGATAGCCGTTCCATATACAGTACACATAGTACATTCCTTTCTAAAAGCCGAACTTTGTAAAGTTTGAACAGGCTTATATAGAGAAAAAAAACACCTATATTTAGAAATGCCGAATCAAATAAATATCATTACATACGACGCGAGAGATGTTTTCGCACTACTATATGTGTTTGGTATTTATTTTACATACAGATAGTTTTGTCTCTAAATTTGGTCAAAGGTATCCAAGCTTGACTTTTTAAAATAATACTAATATGTGTGTGCTACATTGTGAAATGGAGGGAGTCATATTTATTCTTATTTTAGTTCGAAATGTACAGCTCCTGTTAGATTATTGCAGTACCAGTACATGTTTCGTGATACGAAAGTACCTCTGCAATATAACATTCCTTGTTAATTGGTTTGATACATACAATATGTTTAGTCTTAGTTCTTTGAGGGTGTAAAACATTTTACTATATTTTTTTAGAGAGAAGACATAGTGCCCGATTTTATAAATAAAGCCCAACGAGAAGAGTGAACATAATTTAGTACAACCAACGAACAAATTCTAAACCATAACACCCCTCCACCAAAGGGCAACATGGCACGCAAGCCAGCAAGAATGAAAAATAAATGGAGAATTGCGCTCAAGGAGGCA